TCAAAAATAAAATGGGCGTCTTACATTTGTTCAAATAACATAATAAACAAGTACCCAGAATGCCAAGTTCGATCTAGCAAATTGTTTATCAAATTGAAAAGCTATTTTATTTTGTCTTTGGTTCATGAACAAATTTTGTACAAGTTCAAAGTAAACAAAATGTAAATTTAATCACATTCGTTCTAGCAAATAGTTGATCAAATTGAAAAGCTATATTTATTGTCTTTTACCTGATACCTTGACCCTGTTAAACCGTATACTGAAATGGCGCGATCCAATCTGATTAAAACACAGATCCTATTTCGTTTTGTTTTTTAAAGTTCAAATTTTCGTTTTACTTGTCTTTACTACAGTAGGATCTGGAAGAGTTGTTATATAAGCCTTGTTCTGGATGATGTGAGGGATTAGCCAATGAAACAGTCTGTTACGGCGAGTTTTTGGCGTGAGTTGCAACGGAACTGTGGGTAACCAACAAGAAACATCAACGTTGATTGGTTAACCAAACGCCTGACGTCATCGGGTCAAACGCTGCTCGTATTTCCATTACAACCGGTCAGATCTTCATGTAGTGTAGGCCATCGAAAGTAGAAAAAAAAACGAAACGAAATATAGATATGTTTTTTAATTAGATTGGTCGGGATCAGTACAAAACATTCCGCTAGGGTAGTTAAGGTCTGTCGTAATATAACATTTCCATTTACGAGAAAGCGAGAGAGGGGGGGGGGGGAATGTCCACTCTACACAAACTGGGTCTTTTCTGGACTAACACACGGTAAAAAATTCAATAATGCTTATCTGCGTAGAGGTCCTTTGGCAGTGAGAGGAAAATGGACAACTCGGAACAAACCCATTAGTACATGTATTTAGATTGCGCTGGCAACCCCACTCCTTGTTACATACACGCAATGACCCTTATGAACTAAAGTTAGGGCATTAGACCACTCGACCACTAACCCGCCCTTCTAATTAAGGTGTACTAAACCTCATCTAAGAAATAGTCTAGTTTACAACATAGATAACAGCCAACTGTGTCCTGTATTATAATTCTACAGGAGGTCGAGATTCCGTTTCACGTCTTCATCAGGTCATTTGCCGAGTTATTAAATCACCAGGAAATAATTCATGGCGTTTTAACCTTTTATGCCAGCAGCTCATAATTAAATCATACTTCAAACAATTTTCGTAGATTGATTTTTAAAGGGGGGTCTGATTTTTTATAATATTCTAAAAATAAATAAATAGTATAGGTATTTCATCTGGTTAGTTATCTTATGTAGCAACTTTGGTAAAAAGAAAAAAAGTATCCCGAGAATGTTTATATTAAAAACTGGACCAGTAAAAAATCGTTTCGTGATCTTATTAAAGATTCGATCTTTAAATTAAGAAATAAAGTTTTCCTTTTGCTCTGGATAATCACGTCTGGAATCTCAACACCACAGCCTGGCCTTTATTAACATCAATTATGCTAGAACATATATAATAATTGTATTTCATATTAAAGGACAGACGGCTATCGTGTTATATTCTCCAACAGTCTAGATGTAGAGATGCCGGAATAATCTACAGAAAATGAATTTCAAATCCCGCGGAGAAGACTGTTAAATCAGCAGCTACTAACTACTACTCTAATCAGAATGAAGTTAAAGTTTCCCGTAAGAGATACATTGGTACTTGTAATTTAAAAAATATAAAAACGAATCTGGAAAAGAAAGAGGTTTAGGGGTGGGGATCTTAAAACATGAAATGAAATAGGTTTTAACGTCCTACTGTTCTGCTCCAACTGGGCTAATGAAGACGGGCATACGCCATACACAACGGAAATTACTGCACGGCTCGTTTCAGTATTTTATGGGTATGCTACGTATATAGATTATCTTTTACGTTGGTCTTAAAGTAGCTAAGTCTCTAACTCAATATCATCTAAAATCTTCCACATCGAAAACACGAATTATTTGTTAATTTAAATCAACACTGATTAATGTAATATTACCGGGAAAGGGTAGGCTTCCGATATCCAATATTCAAGACAAAATAAACAATTTACCATTGGTACACGAATCGTGTACCATAATGCGTTTCAGCGTCATTTGTAACAAGGGACTTGAAGAATGGGGCTAGACATATTCCACAAGTCATGTCAAGCGGTGACTTCATATTCTTATATGGAGAGCATGCGCAATGAATACTATCAGTGTAGACTCGATTAACCAGACGCTAGATTTCCATTCGATTGAGACTTCTGGCGTTTTTCGCCGAACATAATTATTTTGAAATTACGAGTAAAAACGGAAACGACTGAATGTAAATCAGTTAATATATCCATATTCCATGATTATATGCGTTGCGACCTATTTGTGTCAATTTCTAGGTCCGACATATTAGCGATTTAGCTACTTTAAGCTGAAACAAGGCTTAATAAATGGGAATCATGAACTTGAATATTTACGTCAATGTAGGTGCTCGCACCCACTTTACACAGACATCGGAATTAATTCAGTATATTGTTACCTTTAAAATCAATAGATTATTGTGAACATAGACCTTAAACATACCAATAAGTTCGAAGTCGCTCAAATAAAGATTGCACTGGTTAGTCAGTCTACTAATTTTGAAAAAAAATATATATATAATGCTCAAATAATGTCATTTTCTTCTGATTTCAAATAAGTTGCGAAGTTTGAAATTTGTCTGATAGGACGTTATTTATCTAGGGTTTGGACATCAGGTGGGCTTTTGTTTTAGTTGTCAATATGCGATGATGACTTTGAACTTTGACCATCAAAATATCCGTCTTTTAACGTCAAAATACAGATGTTTCACGTCAAATTGGCAAAGCGTTCGTATTAAATGTTTAACTTTGGCTTTCAATTTTTTTTTTTTTTTTTAAAAAGTCTTGACCTTGAAAACCATGCCTTTAACGATTTCGGCGATTTTTGTAAGTTACTCATGGAAATGGGTGCGATTTTAACGCATATCTTTAGACCGTCTCTGGAGGACATGACTTTCCTTGTTTTATCTCCTGAGAGATTGGTCGTGTCTCTGTTCATGTCATTCTAAATTTGCCATGCACAATAATAGACCGCACTTTAAGAAACAGAGATGCAACCACATGGTTATAAAAATAGCTCACAAACTGCTGGATAAAATATCGATATGTCGGGAAGGAATTTACAATAAATCCTACCAACTAATAGAGGGATATGGAAAACAACAATATAGAACTGTAATTTGGCAACTTATTTAATTCGCTAAGAATTTCCAAAATAAGAAAACTAAATCTAATACGAAAATCAGATCCCTTCCAACATCGTCAAAATTGCAACAGTATCCCACTGTTCACCATTGTAAATCTTCGTAAATTGTAATATGTTAACCGATTTAATTCTATAAGAATTTCTAAAATACAAAAACGTAATCAGATCACTTTCGACATTGTAGACATTGTGATAGTATCGCCCTGCTAATCTCCTATGACTATAATTTTACCCAACGTCTAGTATCTCCTTCCTGACTATGATCAATAAGATAGATAGACCAACCATTGGGGTAAAATGATAAACGGAATTGATATCATATGAAGCAGCTTTCATCCACCGGAAAATAGCATCCTCTTTAAGACAACTGTAGTACGTCATGCGTCAAATATAATTCTAAAAACAGATATTTATTGACATAAGTCAGTATTATCAAAGCCTTATTTTGACATAATCAGATTGAACATGATCACGAATTAAGTCCAATTTCAATCTGCTTTATAGGTTAACACATGAACAAATTGTCCATTAATCTCAGACAAATGGTCGCAGTCGGATACAATATGGCTAACTACTGGAAAAAATCGATCAAAGTGGTAGACTGCGTCAATAACTAGCATAAACTACTATTTATTTCAAGTTGGGTACTCGGCAAGAAATTAAATTTCTTGTGGTATAATCTAATGGATAAAACCATGATTTTTCTTTTAGAAGAAGTTATATTATTCAGATTCGTATCAGGTTTCGTGGATATGGGCGAAAGGTGTGTAGGTCGGTGCACCTTTCAGCAAACTAAACAATACTGCGATGGTGACAAAAAACAAAATGATAACATCGTTTAGATGCATGACCTTAAATCTAACAAAAAGTATTGACACCTTTTATGAAAGCGCAGACGTTTTATAATTAGTTTATCTATCAACTATCAAAAATGTAAACGCATTATTTAAAATTTGATATAACACAACAGAATATAAACTGGATTCAAGTTTCAGGTTTTCTACAATTTAATTAACTTTAATATCCCATTTCCTGTCACCTTGTTGGGATTTATGTTGCTGAAACCCACGTAACGGTTGACAATATGTTAAAACATAATTATCCAATGCCCTATTCTCAGCAGAGGGATTATCCTATTACAGATTGATGAGTGCGCTTTACTATAATTCAGTATAAGATAACGGGCGTTTTAATCTGGTTCAACATTCCAATCTCATTTTACATCCGGTACATCACTAATGATTTTCATACGAAACTCCGACTATCCTTGATGTGCCAGAATATGTTGTCGGTTTTAACGTCCGCTCCCACTTAGGGGGATATCGCAGACTAAATTGTGTATGTAAACAAGGCGGCCATAATTCTATATCGTCGAGTATGTGTACAAATGAAGATTGTTTGGCTTCTTTAACATAACAGAATACAGAAAAGTGTTAGTTTCAATAGATTTAGATTTCCATTTTACACGTGTAAGTCAGGCGTTGGTGTTTCTTTTTAATTTACTATTATTGAAATGTTAAAATAACGATGTTGTCCTCGAGCATGAGCAAGTTTATATATCGCCGAAAGTATAATAGACGAAAATCGAATTCAAAGTTTGTCCCCGAGACAAATCAAGTCCTAGCGATATTTTATGTGATTTCTGAAAGAGCTACTTTACACACGTCAACGGAAGGTTGTCTGGAAAGAGTCTTATAACTTCCTGTTTTAATCATTAAAAAGGTGGATTGCATCCCTCATACTAACCTGAATGAAAATAATACCCGTTACTATGGCAACTTGTGATGTAGGGCTGGTACATTGTGGCAGTGCGGTTGTTTTTCTTCCCGCCCTGAAGATTCTGTAAATCCGATTAGTCTTTACCAGAAGTGGTGCATACACAAACGTGAAGGTGAGACTAAAACCTACGTGATTTAGGTAGCACGACACACTGTTTGGTACACTCAAAAAACTGAACACCAACATGAATGCCACAGAAATACCGACAAGCATCACTTGGCTTAATTCGCGACTTGATGATCGAATGATTCTCTCATGTCTATAAGTATGGAATAACATGACCACAAAAAGGGCAACAATAAGTCCTAATATGGCACATATACAAATAGAACACGCTATTAAGTCTGCTAAAGTGACGTAACTGGGAACTATTTCTACACACCTGCTACGCGTACGTTCATCCGGCCAAAATAAAAGCTCACACGTTTCACAGTGTGTAGAATTAACAGATGTTATTTCGTTGTTTTTACAAGATACACATTTCCAGCAACATGTTTCTCGCGAAAAGGAATATATTTGACCGCTGATGCAAGGTTCCGCACACACCGATTCTGGAATGGAATGGTCACTATCTGAACGATTACCAGTACTACTTCTCTTAAATTCTGACCATTTTAATTTATCCTTGTCAATAGACAATGCATTTGTTTTCATATCCCACATACCAACCTGTTCATGACGCGGAGTACCTTCGACCATTTGACACTGACGTATTTCATATTTACCCACTACGTCACCATTTTGGTCAAATGATATCTCACCGATTGAACTGTTAAATGTGACTTCCTTTAAGGCCTTTAAGAGGCCTTCTCCTTGAATACACTGCCTTACTGCTTTACCCTTTAAATCACCACAGTTCTTGTTTATATAGTCATGCAAGGCATGCGCAAAAGCATACACTGCGTCAATCACATATGACGCCGCAAATATTGGAACATAATTATCATCCTCTGTGCTTTGATGCAAACTACTTCTCTCCATTTCCGGTTCAGTAAATTTTCCGGATGTGACGTTGTATGGTAACCAGGACTGAACGTCCTTCTCAACTCGATGTTTCTCATGAAATAATCCTGTTTCACGTAAAGATTTCATATACTTAGAAAATCGTGGGACATTTGCTGAAAAAGGACGAACGCTAAGAGAACCCAAGCTGGAATTACAATATTCTGAATCGTCATCTAATATCAAGCTTAATGCGTCACTTCCGGTCCACAAGAATTCACGAAATGCGTTTTTACGTTTTGCTGCTTTTATAACAGAAGCTGCATGTGCACTATCTGCATACAATACGACTGCACGAGCACCCTTGTATTTTCTTAACGAATCGATGACACTGTCATACTGAGAATTACCCATAGAATTTCGTATTTCTATAGATTGCGCAACACAAATATCTAGTTCCCGAAAGAGTTTTATGAGTTGCCTTTCACTTTCCTGCCCATAACTTCCTTCCGAATATATGACGGAGACATATTTCCAATTAAAGAAATGCAACAGGTCCACTATAACTTTAACTTGGTACTTATCCGGTGGAACCATTCTCAGAAAATAGGGAAAGCGTTTCTTATCACTCAGTAGATCACTCGTGGACGTGTGACTAATCTGCGGTATCTTGAATAACGCTAATACATTGGCTAAAACTATACTTAAAGAACTCGTGTACGATCCTATGACGCTTACAACGTCATAAAATGGCGGTATTGTTTCGTTAGTGCGATCGAAGCATGGAGGACTTGGGCAATGATTTTGGAAATTGTGAAGGTCTGGCATGAACTGCATTGCTCTCGCTAACACCATTGATGGCATAAGGCAGTCATCCAAAATAACAGTTCCTAAAGTAACATTTGGTAAGATATCGGACCGGTTGTTAATTTCGTTGATAGCAAAGATAACGGCTTGTACGTATTCTATTGACGGAAATAAAGGAATACCTCTACCGCAATTTCGGTTATCTTCCGATATGTGTATAGATAACACTGCGCCTATGTTGATGTCCCCACACTGAATATATTCATAAGATTTATTAAAGATCTCTGGTGGGTAGCCCCATACTAAGAATCCACAACAAATCATATACACAAACCGGAGATAAAACGAAGATCCCATATCTTTAAGATAGTTGACCCATTAATAATACAATTCCATCTTGTGTATTTATTAAAGACGTTGCACTATTCTGATTCCTCATTAGAATCCCCAATGTATTGTACAACCTCAATATCTTCAAATTATCAGGTTTGGTAGCTGGAATGATATTCGAATATCGATTTTAACTCTTTCAACCTGAAAGTAAAAACGATGAAAAGAGTTTAACAATGCACAATATTGAACTATTGAATAATTAAACAAATTGTGGGAATAATAAATTGTTTACCTGCCTGGAAGCAGTACGTATTCTTATATTGATGAGGTTTGTTTATTTTACTTTACTCTGTGTATTTACACAAACTTCACAATCAGTTCAAAATCTAAACTAAGTTAAATATTTATGTATATCAACACGTTTGATACACATGCGTGAAAGCAAGAATTGGTATACTCCTCGTACATCAAACCCGTCACGCCTTATAATCTCTTGTCAAAAGCTTAATTGTCTAATATAAAATTAGTAAGCTATGCGATATGTCCAGATAAATGGTAACTTGTATAACATTTCTAGAAATAGTGAGCGTACAAAGTACCTTTAGAAAAATCTAACTTAATTCAAACGTTGAAAAACTACAAGACCTAACCAGACATGTATTTCAGATGAAAAACTAAGGCAATTTAATGCAATTTAAACAGATATGGTAATACTCCGATGATAATATTATAATGAAATGGCATTATGTTATCTCCACACATCTGACACCATCTGGCGACTTCAAGTCCCCATGATAACGGGATATAATAGCTATACAAGAAATGTGAATCAACGGGTTTTTTGCGTTAATGTCGATTATTTTGTTTGAATAACTAATTGAATACATGAATTGGAATATATCCAAGGACGGTGTTGGTGGTAAGCAACGTTAAATATGATAATACAAAAATATTGACAACACCGAAGAGTTCTGTCAGAAAGCGTCTAATATCTAGATACCGATCGGAAACTCTATTTGCCAAGCTTTTAGACCGAGTCATTCACAAGAAATTATTACCATTGAATATATAAAGCCATTAATAGGCGTCAATTACATTATTTATTATGTGACTCTTATCTTTACCATACTGAGACCTTCATGTCTGTACATGCTATCAACTTCTCGTAACATATTGACCAACATTTCAAACACAACACTATATACTGGTCAAAGGTTGACATGGGTGTACAGAGCAAGGGGTTCATCAACATGCTGGACAACATGTTGCTCATCATCATCATGTTACCGAAAGAATGCCAATACAACATGGCAGTCTTGGAATGGACACAAACTGACTGTCCTTAACCTGGTACCGAAACGTTGACCGGTGTAGACAAGGTAAAAATTATGACCTCGTAGATAAACCAATTGTACAAAATGCATACCGTGATATTTATGTCACACGTCCCCCCCCCCCCATCTTGGTTTATTAATGTCCCTGTTGTAATTGGTTTGTAGTATTTGTTTGTATTTGAATCCCGCTGCCCTATTGTCCAAAACTAATAGAACGTATGATACAACAGTCAAAAGTATCAATGGTTCAAAATTCCGATAGTCCAAAGTCTAGTTTCTGTATATTTTCAATTCCTTTGAATTATCTCACTCTTAGCTGCTGGACTAAGTTGTCGTTCTGTGGTTACCTTCTTTGGTAGAACAATCACTTGCAGTTTTACTGGTCAACAGTAGGATGGTTGTCAGAACATTTTCATTTGCTTACTAACTTAGCTTCATAGTAATATATTTATTTACGAAATAAATTTCTCTTGTGCGCATAAACATTTGATCGTTGCTATATTTTTTCTGTATACATTCATACAATCTAAGAAGGAAAACAGTAAAAGGAAAAGTCATAAGGGGAGCACAGATTTTGCGTTTAAATAGGACATAACTGTGGTTAACAGACAGACACATTGTTTAACACGGTATATAATCACACAAAAATAGCTCATAATACATAGGTTACAGCTGATCATTATATTTGACATTCATTCGAAAACAATAATGATAGCCTACTTCGGAAGTTACTCCGTTTTCCAGACAAAAATTATTCATTCTTAAATTCCTATACCTTTAAAAGCAGATATGGAGGTTTGGGAGTCGGGTATTTTAAAAAACATAAAATACATAAATACATATAGCTTTTACGATAAAATACCTAACCGCGCAAAAAATATCATTGTTGTCTCAACATTTCTATAATACAAAAAATATTTATTCCAGAGAACAGACGAAAAATTGACAGTAGGCTTAATATCCCTTAGGGTGTACATTGCAGTCTAGTTCTGGCATATCTAGATTATAATTCAGAGATTGGTATAGACTAAATATCAATAGGTTAAAGTGAACAATTGTAAATACGCCCTGGGGCCACCAAAATCATAATTAATCGTAGCTTAAGGGAATATATTAGAAGCAACTGTTAAATGCTATTGGTAATGGTAAGACTACCAGACAGTATTAATTCCAACTTTGTTTATGCTAACGTTTGAGTAAATGAAATGAAATGGAGTTTAATGTCATATTGTTCTGTGCGGTCTGGGCTAATGAAGATGGTCATACGCCACACAATGTACTACGAGCGAGCTTTGGCTCGGACCATGGCACAGCGGTCAACTCTTATTTCGAATTCTGTCAAGGGTGTTTTTATGTGCACATAACGTGTACACGGGATCCCGTCAAAACGACAAGACACTATTCCATGTCGCTAACTTTGGCCACAACATGGCCGTAGTTAAGAACAGATTCTATGATGATTATTTAATTCTTCATTAGGTTGACGGACCAGTCATGGATGCTACATACTTATGTTTAAGGTGGACCGCCTGTTATATATGAAATGTACACAAATTTATCACAAGTAAGTGATCTTCCCAACAAAATGAGAAGAGGCATCTGGTGTTGTAGAAAAGGGCAATAAGTCAGAAATGTATTGTGACAAGCGAACCGAAATTGAATAAAATGCTTTGTCAACCTATTAGTAAAGTAGACAGTTATGGAGAAAAAATCTTAACAAATTGAGAAGGGGCATCAGACGTTCCAGAAAGAACAATTAGTGGGTGTCAATATTTTAGTCAAGTAGCCAGTTTTAGGGTAAAATATCTTAACAAATTGGCCACCGAAAACAGAGCGAATGGACAAAGCTTTACTTCCCGTAGTGTGGTGTAACGCTTACAACAAAGTTGGCAATATTTTATAACGACGGCCTAAGTAAGCAAGCTGTGCGCCTGGGAAGAGTTGAGAACTGACCCGCTTCACACCTCCCCCACCCCTCCAATCCCCGACAATGGTTACTGCCAACACATCTTTAAATTTGTTGTTTGCCTCATGGAAAATCAGCGATTGGACTTCTGGCACCCTGCATAAGAAATCTTTTATTGACAGAATCTTGACCGGCTGACATTTCAAATATCTAAACGTTATTTCCAGTTGTGTTAATTCTCCAAGTTACTTTTTATCTGCCAGCATCTGTAGGGGATCGATAAGAATGAAATAATTATTGATTTTTACATAATCGTGAATAGATCACCATAAAATGGACATTAGTAACTGATGGTAGATCCTTATTCAGCTTTCTAATCTCTCAATAACAGCTGAGAATGGTATCATCTTGATCAAACATGCAGATTACATTTGTAAATATATCTTTGTGACATTTACATATTTATTTGACTTTTAACACGTCCAAAAATATTATATTTCGTTTTCCGTTTTAAAATACAATGTAAAATGTATACGGCGTAAATTCTACAAACACAGTCATGAAATTGTGTAAAATTCTTTGATCTTTTTTTTTTTTGCACCACCAGAGCTAAAATAACATAAACTATTTTTTTTTTGTTTCATTAAAGTTGGTGATTTCTTATGTATCAAATAATACAGAGACGAAATTCAACTAGAATGTGACAACAATCTGTAGAATGTAGGAACCTTTCTCTATTATTTATAACTAAGTAATGATATTAAAACAACATTACAAATCTATCATACTGATTACTTAATAATACTCATCGATCTTCCATTCGGCTCATACCTTGTGTCCAAAACAACATCACTTCCCGATATGAAATGTCAGAGTAACACTTAGTTCCAGGTCTAGTGTGTTGTTAACAACTTTGAATAAATAATGAGAAGCTTCATTTGGAATGAAGATAAATCATTCAGCTTTTGAAGAGTGTATCATAAAAGATATACCAGTAATGAAATGGTTGTGAACATTTTGAATAACAACCAAATCAGAAAAAAACAGTGAGAACAAAAGGGCTTATCACTTCAACCTCTCTCTGGTCCATAGCCATCAAAAATCTGAGAGAAAGGGGTCGACAATCTTTTATTTCCTTTTTTGATCTCGTTCATCTTCTTCAAACTAACATGTTAATGTATCATGTCCATCAAAGTCTGTAAGGGGAAGATGAGATACTTTGTATTCAATTCAATATGAGAAAGTCACCATATTCAGTTAAAAATATCTTTCATCGTATAAATTCTGCAGAGATTGAGGAACGTGGGATAATTTCTTCCAACCTGTGAAGTTAAAGATATCAAACAACATTATGTAAGATCAATGATATGCCGTTAATTCAAAAACTCTTTCATCAACCTGACTATGTTGCCGTGGGGATGATTTGATCAGTTTCCTGGTTGATTTGTTTTGCTTATCATAAATAGATTTGTTTGATTTATCCTCAGAACATCGGCTCGACATATCGTCTAAATTTTGCAAAGGTGATAGTTATAATTCACCCAGAAACAACACGTATTTTACAACACATTACCGAAGCCGACTTCCGCGTTCTATTGCCATTAGTCCGTAGCTAGCTGTACGGGTACAATCGTATTAATTACGTTGCTCGGTAGCTAGTTGTGTGCCCTTGGGCGGTACTAAATTACATTGCCCGTAGCTAGCTTTAGCCATTGGGTGGTAACTAAATTACATTCCCCCGTAGTTAGTTGTACGCCCTTGGAAGGTACTAAATTACTTTGCCCGTAGCTAGCTTTACCCACTGGGTGGTAACTAAATTACATTACCCCGTAGTTAGCTGTTTGGCTTGGGTGGTACTAATTACATTGCCCGTAGCTAGCTGTATGGCTTGAGGGTTCTAATTAGATTGCTCGTAGCTAGATGTACGACCTGGGTGATACTAAATTACATTGCCCGTAACT